AACCTTTGGTACTCTCTCTCTAACCAAGAGAGAATTTTCAACTCTTTTTGATGCTCGGGGACTCTTCAAAGGCCTGATGAGCTGTAACTGTGTAAGATAAAAGCTTGGAATGGTAAAGAATAAAATGATCCTTTCAAATTGTACTAAGGAATAAAATAACATCAACTCCACAGTGTGGACTTGTTAGTCTAAGAACAACAGAGGACCGCCCTTATCTGACGGAGGACCAAGGAAACAACTTCTCACTCCTTCTCATTGCTTCTGGAAGACACTCCGAATCTTCTGGGAGTGAAATAAACATCAGGCACATTTGGAATGAATGCTGTAGCTGTCATTGCTCTTCATTGGCCAAATGCACACATTCTTGCTCTCAAGAGGAAGCTGAAACTCCTCAATGTGGCTAATATGGGGTTACTCGCCGTTACAGGCTCAGCCCCGCCCACCTTTACTGTCTTTCCTCTTGACATTCAAACACAGCCTGACAGTCTATAGAGGATCAGCTTTCATGGGGACATTGCTTCCTCTCATGTTTCCTCCCTCATTCTGCCAACAGACACTCTTGCTCTGCGCCTTCAAAGCCCCTGCATCACCTTTCCCTTCTCTGCTAAGGTATCATGGGCTATTGGCTCAGCTGCCCCCCATTAGACTTGGGGCTCAGAGACAGCACGGCTCTAGTTCATCATGTGTCGCATGGAGTCCTCGCTGTCCGCCTATCTCATGCTTCATCAATACCAGCCGAATGAAAGACTCAACTAACCACAGAGCCCCCAGGGTTAGAATGGATCCCGATCAGCTTTAACATCTTGCTACATTTTTATGATTACTGAACATAGATGAGGAGATTAAGAACAAAGAGGGAAGAGTATGTGAATGCACATGAGGCTACGAGAAAGCTGTGTAGATGAAGACATCCCTGAGTGCTCAGGAGAAAGACTAGGAAAGCAGCAGGCCTAGTTCTGAGGTGTTCTGATGCTAAGAAGAGATAATGCTAACATCCCAATGAGCAATCACAGTACCAGGCTTCCAGCATTGAGAGCCACAGAAAGCACCATGCCTCTTAGTATGTATCTATATGTGCAGGAGACTGGCACCTAGGTATTACACTAAAGTCGGCAAGAGGTATAAGATGGCAGAAGCATTAAGAATCAAGAACACTGTCCTTCTGACAAAAACAAAACAAAACTCAAAGAGAACACTGTGGGAACCTTCCATTGGGCCAGTGGGTAGGCAATGTCTTCCTCTTTCCTAGACATTCTCCTTGATGCTCTTTATTCCTTGTCACAGCTTCCTCGGCATATGGTAGCCTACACTAACTATCCAATAGTATAATTCAGAGCAAAATATTCGCAAGGTTGTGAGGGAACAAGGCCCCTGTCCTCTGACATCGAACTCAGCTCTAGCCCACAGATACATCAGATCTACGATAGATGTAACAGATCCTAAGAACCAAGGGGTTCTACAGCAGTGTCAACCTCAGACTTGAGAGACGGGGAGGTTTCCCGGGAACTCAGCTGAGCACTGAAGGCTGTATGTGACAGTGTGAAGGGCTAAGTTAAGGCACGGCATCAAGTGAATGAAGCTAGGAGCAGTGACCAGGCTGGCTTGCCTAGAATGGAGCCTAGAACGAAGAGCTTTACTAAATGCAAAAGCAGTGCTGAGAAACAGCGATGCTTTGACCTTCAGCATCTAGGCAGACGGTACCAAGTTTCCAGCAATGAGTGAGAATACAGCTTCGATGAGGCATAGCTTCAGTTGGCCAAAACATACAAACCCTCATACATATCTAAGCACCTAGAATTTCGGCAACGCCACATCTGAAACATTATGAAAGAAGCCATGGGACATTCTAGTACTCAATAGGAACTCGAGAAACTGGCATGCTTTATTTGGTAAAGACAATTTAACTACTTTTTTTCCAAAGCAAGGATTCCTAACATTTTCTGATCTTAATTCCTGCGCCAGACTACACGTTCTGCAAAGAGACCCAATCTTTTCATTTGTTTCCATCTTATCCCTCAGGTGGGGTTCAGGAAATCTTTAGTAAGCCCCCCCCCAGCCCCTCTTTGTAGGGAGTCCACAGCTCCTATCCCTGTCACTGGTACTACGAAGTGTACCGTGCTTGTGGCCTTCAGAAGGAAGCGAGGTGGCTGACATGCTCTTTTAAACATGAGCAATGCAAACTGAGGTTAAAGATTTTTTTCCATTTCAAAATGGCTGCCCATAAATATTTTTGTGATTTGTTGGCATAACAGAAATACTAAGCCCAAAGAATTAGCATTTCCAAAGACACTGAGTTCCTCTCAAGGGTAGCCACTTGTCGCCATAAAGTACCAGTGGTGGCTCATACATCACGGCACGGTAAAACACCACTTCCCTTAAGAAGTTCAAATCAACATCAGGGGATGTGTTGTTGCTCAAATCCCTGGAATTATGTGTCATGTAGTTAGCATTTAAAAATAAAAATAGACTCTCATCAAATTGAGGGACGGTACATTTATTTTACGATGGGCAGGATCAAAGAGCTTGACGTTAGATGGGCAGCTGCCGTGGGCCTTTGCTAACTTCTGACGGTGACTCAGGCCATTTTATTAATGAGCTAGAGCTAAGTAAATGATGAATCAATGCCTGCAAAGCAGGAAAAGATGCCAGTGCCCCACTAAAATTGCAACGTGTGATCAACCTGTTTCCGTTAAGAAAGCTGTTGGAGTTTTTACTGGGGGATTTCCCAGGCAAACAGAGCAAAGATGGACAAAGCCAGAGCGGAAGGTGAGTCCATTTCCTCTTTGTGGTTCCATCCTGGTCCCTAGTGAAAACACAGGGACTAATTCAGGGCTTCTTCATGTCATCCTCTTCTCCATCCTGACGGAGAGATAACCCACATCTCACATTTGCCCAGTCAGTCAGGTGTGGTGGGATCAGAGTTCAGATCCCGTGGTGAAGACATGCAGCAATATAAACCCGAAAGAGTGAAAATGTCTATTTACTCATTCCCACAGAGCTACTGTGTTGTCCCACTCCCTTCTTCCTTCCCCACTCCACGGTTCCTTACATTATGGATCACTGAGATCACTGAACATCCTCTAGATTCCAACCCTAACCCTCCCAGTCCTGCCAAGGCAACCTGTGTTTGTCTGAGCAGCCTTGTGTGAGGGACTGCGTGCCATGGTGACACCATCTTTAGTCCATTTGGAAACTGTAAACATGCTAAAAGAGATAGGCTCAGGTAACTGAAGAACAGAGTTTATTTTTCCAGTGACCATGACATGGTGACCACGGACATGCTTTTGCTGACAGTTCCTCCCAGGGGAAGTGGCACTTACCACATGCACATAGCTGTTAAAATAATTTGTACCTTCTGATTCTCGTTTCTAATTATCACACACATCTACATGCGGATCTTTTACTATCTCATAAGAGTCATGCTCTGAAACTCAATTTATTATTCTTTCTCTTTTTTTATTTCTCAAATTTTGTTAGAGGCACAGTTTATTAGAGATAACTTGGGTACTGGTTTGGCTCCTCTTCTTTATTCTTTGGCAAGTCTGCCTCCTAGTAAAGCTCTTGAGTGAATTCTCCTGACTTCCTTGTCTTACTTCAAGGCACCATGTTGCTCCCAAGAAACCCTGACATAGCTTCACTCTGTACCCTCCCTGTCTCACGGCGTTCTCATGCAGAGTCTTTCCTCTGTGATGTCAAATTCATTGCATGCTTCTTCTTACACTAGTTTTTTTTTGCTTCCAGGAGGATGAGGGCAACTCCTCGCTTGAAAGCACAGACTTCCACAGAAGCCAGCCCGCCCGCCATCACCAAATCATCATCCACGTGCATCCTGCTATCCTGAATGGCCAAGACCCTGTACTTGCTGCATGCCCACCTTCTCCTCCTCATCTTGCAGGTGCCCTTGCTGTCTGAGATGCTGTGCCCTTTCCTCTGTGAGGAGGCAAAGTCTTTTTCTCTTGACGCCTGTGCCATCATGTCTTTCACTCACTGAGAAACTGTTTGGATTTGTGGTTCACAGAAACAGATGCATCTTGGAAGTAGAGATATGAGAACCATGTCTAGCCCCAAATCTCTAAAGCCGCTGGAGAATTCAGACGTCAAATGGAAACACAGTTATTTAGGGGTCCTCCTATAGAAATTCTTTCTGAGGGTGACACCAACAAAAAGTATTGAGGAAACAGTCGTTTCCTGGCTATCATGCAACCTTTTCTGTCACTCTGTCTTCTCCCAAGGTACTGCCGTCTGGATTCTGAAAAACTGCCCATGGCCTGTGTGTTGAGACATGGCCCGGGCACCACCCTGGACTTCTCCTTCTTCCTGGAGGAAGCAGAACTCTGAGGAAGTGGGGTCTAGTGAAAGGAAGTTAGGTTGTTGGGGACATGACCTTGAAGGGGAAAATTGAGAAATGTAGTCCCTTTCTGTCTCTCTCTTTGCTTCCTAGCCACCATGAGGTGAAAAAGGCCCCTCTGCCACACACTCCCACCCCGATGATCCCAAAGCAAGGCCCAGTGACCATGGGTGCAATCACCGAAACCATGAGCCAAGGCCAACTTGTACATTTACTGTTTTTCAGTCGTTCTGTGAATATGGAGGGCTGCCTAGCACACAAACTCGCACTGTGTGACTATGGGGTCGTTTATACCCAGAGAGCCAGCCCCTCAACTCACTGAAAACTGAGCCCCGAAACAAGGTGAAGTGGCAAAGCTGGGACGCTGTGATACATTTTCTAGTTCCTGACACTTGAGCTGTGGTTGAATGCCAGTATCATTTCATTTTGTTATATATATATATATATATATATATATATATATATATAATATGTAACAGATAATGAGATATTTGGTCCACACGCTCTGTGTATGTTACTTTTAAAATGCCACCCCTGGGTAACTCAGCCCACCAACGGATTATTAATAAAATCCAGCAACTGTCAGCGCTCCTCTCCGTGGAGGGAGGCTTGGCGGTAACACCTATTATGAGAGCGAGACAGATGGCCTTACCTCTCGGTGCCTGCGTCCACAGCTGCGAGTGGAGGTAACTGGGAGGAGGGGTGGTGGGGGCTCCCCTGTACATTATGTCCCGGAGAAGGGTGACTGACAGGATGTGGGGGTGGCACGGCCCCAGCAGCTGTTCCACTTCGGCTTGAATGACTGCTGGCGAAAATGGGAGCTGAAACCAAGAGAGAGAGGCAGCATGAGACGGTGCCCTGAAGGAGGCCCCGTTTTAAACACCGAGCCTGACAGCAAGCATATTTCAGGGACTTGTTTGTTTTTCTCCGAGTGCCTTTTAGGGAGCACTTCTCCCCTTCGTGGATACACACACAGCTTTGGCTTCCGTGGAGGAACAGGTTCCCTGGCTCTCTGTCTTCACGCTGCCTCAGGAGTAGCTTGCTTCAGGCTCACCTTGGTCTCTAAAGTGCCATGCGCCCTGCCAGTTCCCTATCTGGTCATTACAATTGCTCCACCTTGTGCTGTTTGTTTCTATGCAAATGTTTTTGTGTCTTTTTTTTTTTTTTTTAAGCTATGGAAGACGACACTTGCGTGATGCATGCTCAGCCGGCTGGCTGCAGGGGCACAAAACAGGCCTTCTGCCTCTTCCAACCGTGTAGTCAGACACTGTGGGTCAGGCCCCTCCACAGCAGAACCCTCATAATTACAGTCCCAGCACAGGGCCCCATTCCCTCTAACTAAAAGCCTAGCAGACTCAAGCATTTAATTGATGGTGTGATAAATAGTCTTCTTTTTATTCCAAAGAAGTCTTTACCCAAGGTGACAAAACAGGAAAAGGCGGCCCTCACACACAGCTCTGAGGTCTTTCCCCGCCACTGCCAATCACACACTGACGGCAAGTCACGGCCCCCTTCTTGGGGCAGCCTCACCTGTGAGAACTGTATCTGACCTCAAACTTGCCCGTGTGCCCATTTACAGCAGCTAATTGGTACCCTGTCACCTGATAACCAGGGCTTGTCACTTTCCAAGTCTATGGGCAAGGAAGGACCTTAATGTGGGGGACCTGCTCAGCAGATGTCTCATTAGGCTGCAGTCAGAAGCCTCGTTACCCATGCTCCCTCACTTCCTTCTCTGCACACAGCTCTGCCCTATGCCCACTTCTGCTCCGTCTGAACTTTACTAATATCAAAGAACAAACGGATCTTTTTTTTTAATTAAAGAAATCAAGTTCAAGATTAAGAAAGTCATATTATCAAAAAGATTTGAAGGTTTAAAAGTTCAGGGAGTTGTATTTTTAGACCGCTATCGCTTTCAGCCAACCCCACCGGGGTAGAAATTAAGACCCCAGGTGACCCAGCCCCACAAAGACTAATCCAATGGAATGAGAGTTCAAGGACTTAGAGGAGCGTGTGAAGAGGCAGAATTACCATCTTCCCGCTCAAAACGCTACTGACACGGCTGTGATCTGATTTGAAGGGTTTATTTCTGGTAGATCAGCATTCTGTCAGGCTCACTCCTGTCCTCAGAAACCTTCACCCTTCCAGAGTCCTCCGAGGCCAAAAAAGTGGTAGTGAGGCCAGGAAGTGCTTACTAGTTCAAAAAGTCAACCCCGAGCTTCTCTTGTGCGCGTCAGCCTCCGTGGAAGCCGCGCACTTGCAAACTCGCTGGAGTCACCTTATGAATCACTGCCCTCGTTTGTGCCCTGCTGGTTCAGGGAGCCGCAATTCTGCTTGGATTCCAAATAATAATGTGGCCCAGGGGAGAAGGCTGTTTGGACTGACTGTAGCAATAGTTTCAATATTGGTGTTTGTCAGCATGAAGCTTGGGTTTTATATACTGTTCTAAAATCTAATAGAATAATAAGGTCACAGAGACACCACGAAAACACAGCTACCTTTATAAAACCTGCTTTAAGTATAGAAACAGCAGCTCTCATTTATTTTGTAATTGGTGCTGAATTCGGCCTTCATTTCTTTACCCCAGAGGTCCTGTTGTGTGTATGTGTTTCTGTTTATCACAAGGGAAGTACTGCCCTTGCTGTTGCAACCCAGTGGGCAACAGGGAAGCATGCTACACTTTACTATGTGGTTCAGCAGAAAATATGGCGCTTCCCAAAGGTCCACAGTAACTGCTTTGGTTGGATTTCACATTGGCTACAATTAATAAGCTAGACAACATGGTGTTATTTATAGCCTGTCACTGAAAGTGAGGGGTTGCTGAGGAACTATCCTTTCTCCCAGCCAAGTCACAACCAAACACCTGTCATCCACCCATCCATCCTTTTTCCACCTAACATTATTTTAAATGATAAGCCTGCTAAGTACATATATACGCATGTATGTGTGTGTGTATATATATATGTATATGTAGTTATAGTTATTGTATGGTATCATTTGTGTACACCTGTCCTTGAGTGGGCTTTAGCTTGAAAATGGAGAAATGTCTGTATGTGTTAATTCTATCAAAACACTAAGATTTCCTAATGTTGACTTCTTAACAGTGTTCTGTCACTTTAACACACTAATCTGCGGCTCTACAACCAGGTAAGTGAGCACATCCCAAACGTATTAGAACAGTTTATACTTGGGCACTTTTGTTTAGTCCTCCACTTCGATGTACTTATTTTGGTATTTTCACCTTCCTCTGCCTCTCCCTACTGGCAAGTGAACCCAGAACACTATGTATGTTGCGAAAGTGATTTAGCATCGAGCTACAGCCCTGGCCTCTTCTCATTCTCCAAGGCGCCAATCACTCCACAAATATTTATGGAGCAGCTACCATATGGCAGACACAAAACTTGGTCCTGGGCTAAACTATAAAACAAGACATGTTTAGTATCTGTTATCTCCAACTGTATGTATCAAGTCATGTTTGCTTTTTTAATGAGCAAAGACAAACAACCTAAATGTCAATAAAGTCTATCCTGGGGCTCCAGTTGGAAATTTTATCCAACAATTCCTACTCCCTTCTGATCAAAGGCTGCCCCAGGGAAGTATTATTCTCTTAGATTTGTCAGCAGACACATGCCACAGAGGCCTAATCTCAAGAAATCTAGGAGTCCTGAGGCAGGAAGGGAGGAATGTGCTGGTAAACTGAGGCCAGGACTGTCCAAGCTCTAGGAAGGTATACTACCATGGCCACGGGCAGGAGGTGGTGGAGAGGGTGTGTAGGGTAAGGCATCTGAGGTGACGGGCATGGAGCTGAAGGCAAAGGACCGGGTCTTCCAAGTGCTCTGACGTCAAACACACATCCACAGTCCTTCCTTTTATAGCTATGGCTGACATAGAATACTCGAAACAGGGCAGGGTTCTCTACAAGAGACCCCATGAGAAGAAGAAAGAGAGGGATTTAGGCTTCAACTTAAAGTCTGAATGTGAAAGCATCTGAACAGTTTCTTACACAGGGCATAACCGATCACTTTTCTGCAAAAGAAAACCAATCACTTTTTACTTCTGTGTTGTTGGACATGGGATGAAAATTAGAGAGATTTTACGAGAATTATAGAGTATAACTTAGTTGGAAGAAACTTAGTGTCAATGTCTATACAGGACAGTCTGCCTGCAGAGTCCAGGGTAAAATTGCTGGTTACAGATGTTACTTATGACCAAAATAATGAAATGAATGGAGGATAAGTAATAAGAGACACAAGCTTGGCTTTCTAATATACATCCAAAAGACAACTATCTGAAGTCAGTTAGCTATGGCTGGGATAGGACTAACTCTCCTTGGCCTTTATCGAAGACCAGCAAGTTTCAGAAACTGCCATTGTCATCCAGAAAATGTCTTTGCTATCCACAGTGACTCCCAGGAATGTCTAACTTTATCAAACCACACATCTAGGATGTACTCTTAAGTGTATCCAAGTATTATTTCTTCATCTGGACATAGCATTCCAGCACCTCCTTTTATGTGGCAGGTGCTAAATCTTCACTAATGTTTCTTGAGTTTCAATACCTGCCGGCTCCGCGCAGCCGCGCCTGCTCCAGCATATGCTTACTGACGAGCGCACAGGCTTTGCCAAGGGATTTCCAATCTTAGGAAGAAAATCCGCACGATGGACGAGAACTATGAGGTTATTCACGAAAGGAAAAAAAATATTTCCACACTTACTCAAAATGATTTCCACAAATCAACCAGTGGAGTGTACAATGTGGCCTATTGATCAGAGCCTCAAGAAGAAAATGGATCCCCCCAGCACACAGCACAATATTAACAAAACTGTTGTGACCAAATCAACCAGACACAGACTGCCCCTGGGGGCAGCTTTCATTGTTGGGGTCACCTTGGGGGGGTCAGTGCTGTCTCCAAAGCTCGAAGGGGGCTTTTCACTGAACTTCCAGACAGGGTTGGTGACTGGCAGCTGGAACAACTGATTAGGCACAGCAAAGGAACAAACTGGAAACCCTTATTGCCTTTGTGATTAAGAGATGGTGAACTCCCCAAGGAAATAAAGCTTGGACAACCAATGAATGCATGAACTCTGCCTGCTGCCCAGAGCCAGGAGCTCTCTTCCCTATCGCTACGGACTCTTTCTCATGGGGCCTGGCTTACGGCAGTGACAGGCAGAGGTGGCTCTGAGATCCATGAAGTTCCTAGAAGCTATCTCAAAAAGGCTTCTGGAGCCACAAAAGGCTCGTGACTATTTCAGTTAATGTCAATCAACATATCTCTATTATAACTATCAATATATTATTCATCATTAATATATTACTAGTAATTGTTATGTTAAGATAATATTACAGCATATTATTATGAAATGATATTATAGTGTTATAATTTATTAATGTATTATATTATTAATAACAATATATTATTTCTAATGAAAGGCACATCTGGAGATTCTCCCCTTGTGAGGTATTCACCAGGTGAACAGAGGATGCAAGGAGTATGTTAGGGACCCCAATAAAGATCTCCTTGCCTTGCCATCCCAGGTCTGCTGGAGCTACTACCCACATCATTTGATGACTGTTTCCATCCATTCAGTTGGTTGGCACAAAGACTCTCCTGTCAGTCAGAGGCATAAAAATGTAGCTAGCATAGACAGGCCTGATGGAGTAAACCTGTAATCCTAGATAACAAGCAAGAGATTTCAAGTTCAAGGCCTGCCTGGGCAATTTCGTGAGACTGCCTCAAACAAAAGACCAAAGAAGAAGTTATAGATATAGCTCATCGGGAATGTCCTGGGCTGGCATGTGCAGAACTAGGGTCAGCCCCCAGGGA